AAAAAAATCAAATCGGCAAGTTTAAATCTATGCAAATCAGCCTCAACAGTGTCGATAGATAAGGGGATTCGGGGAGTTTACTCTAGTATAGGGTAGCAAAATTCAGCTGAACTAGCTCTGGTATAGGCTAAGGGTTCCAGGGTCCCACCAGCACATCCCCACCCAGAAATTCCCAAAAAGCCCCCCCCCCCCGACTTGACTGAACCAAACGTTTTGACAAATCAACGAATCAAACCACTTTTTCCCGCTATGATTGCCGATTTGTAATTTCACTAGAGACACGAAACACGCTTTGATTTCCCTTGTCAGATCGCCTGATGAATCATTTGACTTTTCTTGCTGTGACCGTTGTACATACGTGCAAATTTACTTCCTGTAGTCTTCTGAGTCAATTTCGTGGATATTTTATACTACTGGTTTGGTATATACTAAAACAATTATTTCCCTTCCTGTCAGTCGCTAAGGGTAAATATTCACCTCTCGAGGCTGCGCTTCGCGACTCTGTAAATATCCACCACTAGTCCCTGACACGAAGGGAAATAATTGTCAATTACCTTGACGGACAAACAGAGTAATCCGATATATTTCTGATATCGAGGTTGAGGGAGCGGGCAAATCGAAGAAAAACCAGAACGAGAAAGGGAAAACAGTGAACGGAAAATGAGAATCCTAGTTAGTAAAAGATTTATTTAGCGACTTCAAGAATGAAACTAATGTGGAAACTAAGGTTGAAAATATTAAAATATTGAACCGGCGATAAAGCATTCTGATTGGCTGATTTCAGCCGCAGTTACTAGCTCGAGGATCGGGTGTATTAAACATGAGTGGCTCCGTCAGCGGTCTAAGTCGAGTTATTATTTATTGCCTATCAAGACGTCACACACACTCAAAATTCGATAATCGCTGTTTAATTTCGATATTCGCCAAAAGCCCGTCGCTTTTTCACCTTTCTGCATCAAAAATTATATTCGCCATAAGCATGATATAGCTTGGTATTTAAGGGTGTTTTCCACGTTTGAGGAGGCGCGAAACTGCGTCGGAAACTTCTTGCAATGACGGCTGCCATGTCGGTATGACACCATCTTAATTTTTTGGCTGCGTTTTATGCTTTGATATATTTCTGACATTCGTATAAGTATTCAGATCGTGTTTTTGAGACAGTGTTCAGAGATGACTGGCTGCATGCCTCATTACTAGGGAAGAGGTGATGTCTTAAAGAGACGCACATCCTAATAAAAAAAAAGAAAATGTTCATCTTTTTATAGTCAGTGAGTGTCGTGAGTTGCTAACTTTAAAATCTGACCTCCAAGGAAATAACAAACCGTTTATTACGGGGCACGTGGTTTGGGTTGGTTCTAGAACAGATCACGCACGTGCGTGACATTACAAGTGCGCGCCTCCAGTGAATTCGAGATCTAATTTGCAATATAAGTAGCTATGGTGATTAAATGGTTGACAGTAAGTTATAAAAGTTTAGAAAATTTCTTTATTAATTAAAGTTCAAGTTAGTATTTATCGAACCTGCCAAACCCATGGCTACTTTGAGTTCATCCTTGGTAAAAATAACAAAATGCCTGTTTTTGAAAGCTGAGAACAATTTGCAAGAGACCTGCGCTTGCTACATATAGCTGTTATAATCCCATTGCTTATACCACCTCTTCTCAGACCTCAAATATGCCTACAAAGCAGCAGACATTACAATTCGATTACAAAAATGAGGGGCACCAAATTAATTTTGAGTTATACGTGCTAAAAACTATAATTAAAGGCGTTTTTTTTAAAACGGGCTATGCTGTTGCTATGGTATCCTTTTACGTCACGAAATAAAGTGATCGTCACTTGTTTACCAACAACTGGGTACTCGATTGATACCATTATTATAGCAAGCAAAAAATGTTGGTAGTGTGGATTCATCTAAGAAGAAGTGCTGCAAACGCTGTATCTTCTTCGCTTTCTTTAACTAAAATGAACAAATTGTCTTGACGAGTTGTCCTATAACCCCTAAGTTTCGTTCTGTCTTGATGAAAGCTAAAAAATCTTCCAACTTCTTGTATTGGTTGATGGAAATCATTCGTCCAAGTAATATAAAAACCGTTTCTTAGATCAATAACTTGTAATATTCTTCAAAGATATATCTGACAAATGCATACCTTATAAGCAAGTCCCCAGATGACTGGCCGTCCAACAAACACCGCTCTTGCCCCCAAAGCAAGGGCCTTAAGAACATCAGTTCCCAGTCTCACGCCACCGTCCACGTATACTTCGAGCCCAGTTCCTCGTACGGCCTCCACTATCTCGGGTAACACTTCAATCTATCAAGAAAACACTATCATTCTTTATCACAGCAATAATAAGAAGTTAGGACACATCACACTTATTACACATACAGTGGCCTGGACACCATCCAACTGCCGCCCTCCGTGATCTGACACCAGAATATCTTGAGCCCTATGCTGCACTGCGAGACGAGCATCCTCAGCTGTTAATATGCCTTTGAGAACGAAAGGAAGTGACGTGATGGAAAAAAGCCAATCCAATACCTTCCAGTCAACACTACTGTCGCGTGCAACGGCTAGATAGCTATGCGACTCCTTGTTACTTCGAAGTCCTTGTTTCTTTTTCAAAGAAGAGAAATTTGCAACTTCCAAGTGCTTAGGGAGGGAAAAGTTTGCTCTCTTTTTATGTCTGCCAGAGACTGGTAGGTCAACTGTTAACAGAACAGCTTTGTAGCCTGCTTTTTCAGCTCTCTTTAACAAGTCCACCATCAGCTGGCGATCTGTGTAGAACTGCATCTGTAGAAACTTGATGGTGTTTGGAGACTCGCGCGCGACGTCTTCTACACTGAATGTAGAGTATATACTAAGAGCCATAGCTGTGTTCACAGAGTTCACAGCTGAAAGGCAAACCGAACATTACCTGATATCGATAAAGTAGATCCCTTCTACAAACTAATAGCCTCCAAAGCTGGCGAGATTTACGCGTGTTTGTTTCATCGGCGGACAATGTAACTAACACGGCGAAGCCGGGAGCTGGGAAGAGAATGGTGAGTAATCAAGCTGAGAGTCTCCGGACGCGAAAATTCCTTCACTGCCTCGCCCTAGCGCCCACGGTTTCGCCGTCGAAGCAAAACAGTCACGCGGAAAACGCCTTCAGCTTCCCTTGCCAGCATATTGATAATCATCACAGTTCGTCTAGGCTAACGTAACGTAACAACTCTAGATCCTCGGACGCGTATATGCGTGCATTTGAGGAGTGAGGGGATAAATAGTTATAGATATAGTCGTACTTTTTTTGATTGCATTGCTTTGGCAGCAGATCACGCGTTTTTGGTGTCGAGTTATGGTTCATGTTTGGATGAGATGAAGGCCAAAATACCTTGAGCAAGACCAAACGAGCCTAATATGCCGCCGAAGCGAACCAGAAAGAAACGATTAGGTTCTGATGCATCCAAATTCGACTAAATATCCGGCCATATCAGGTGAGTGATATCAGGACAGCGAAGTTATTACTTTCTAAAAAAGAACGGTTGGGCTGTGTCAACGGGCTAGTAAAAAGGCTACATGACAACTTGAAGTTGATAAAAGTAAGGGATATTTCACTTTGCTCTTTTAGGGAGGCAAATTAACAGCTACGGTAGTTAATTTCTCCTATGTCTTCTCTCAGCTGCCCCACCTAAGAGCACGAGGACAGTAGACAATGCAAGGCTTCTGATTGGCTAACTTGGAATTTGGGTGAAGTAATAGGCCATTCCTGAATTACCTTAAACCTCTTTCTCAAAGCGAGTCTTGATGTCCATCCTTTCATATGAAAATGAGATTTCATTCACATGCAGATTAAACTCATATTCATTTGAGTGGCTGTGCAGCGGGCCTCGCTTTGATAGAGAAGTTTAAGGCCAATTAGGCTATTTAGAAACAAATTTTAAACTTTGCTGGGATGGGGCGGTTTTCCATTGAGTGTGGTAAAACCAAACCAAAAAGACGGAAAACTCACTGAACCAATCAAATCTTAAAGCAAATACTTGTTGCTGTCGCGAACGCGGGGAATAAGACTTCCTAAAAGTCCTTTCCAATAATTCTTCCCTAGCCTGTTGGGTCGCTTACGCTCGAGACTTCGTAGCTTGAAGACTG